CCTCCAGCGTCCCAGGGACCTTGTGTGTCTGATTCCCTTTCCCAGGGCCTGGGCAAGGCTGGCAGCAGGGCAGGGGCTCATGAATGAATGACAGAGCAGGTCAGTGAGGCAGAGATGGGGAGGGCAGACCACGGAGTCAGCTTCCTGGGGTGCAAAGACAGCTGCACCACCACACTGGCTCTGGGGCCAGGGCAGAGCGTATGACTGCTCTGTGCCTCAGTTTCCCCATCTGTACAATGGGAGAGACAACAGGTCAACCTCCTAGGGCCACTGTGGGGCTCACTGAGTGGGCCGTGATCCCGGGAAGGCAGCGGCTGTTTCTGTTGCCGTGAAGACGTTCCTTGGACGCCGCGGGCCTCTTGGCGAGGCTGGCTCTTGGTACGAGGGCACATTTCTTTACTTTTGGATGTGATGTCAGGCATGTCGCTGCAGGCTGCTCTGCATGGCACTAGGGTACAGCAGGGGTTGGGCAGTCCTGGTCTTGTGCTCTCAGAGTCACAGACGGGGTCTGCACACAGAGATTTGCTGGGTCCGTGGAGGACCTCCTCTGCCCGCCCTGGGAATCCAGGAGGGCCTCCTGAGGAGGAGATATCTGAACTGAGCTCTCAAGGCAGAGTCGCCTGGGCATCCAACATGTGGGACCTTGAGCCTGGCCATTCTGCGGGGTAGACGTGGCCTGGCCGGCACCCAGGGTGTCCGCGGCGTCATGTCAGCCTCTGTCTGGGGCTCCCGCTCAGGAGGAGGGGTGAGGGAGGTCCTGACCCCGCCCAGTGGTTCTGCAGGACGACCCTGGGCACGGCCCTTCTCATCAGTCCTTGTGGTCCGTATCCCCGTGTAGGGGTGCTGGGGCCTGTGAGCCACGCTGAGCGGGGCCACGGTACTCAACCGGGCCCAGGATCCAAGGTTGCTGTGAGGGAGAAGATAAACTCAAGGGACGAGAAGCCCCGGGCCAGCACGGATCTGTGTTCATCTATTTCCTTTTTCCTGCTGAAAGGAAGTGGGTTTATTTTGGGGTCTGGGGTGGCTTTTGTTTTTGCTCGTAGTTTGCAAGCTGGCCTGGGCTGCTCCCTCGGCCCCTGCGGACTGGCGTCTGCCCCCTTCACGGCCAATTTCCACCAGACGGGCAGGGGTCTCCTGGGGCAGCCCCACGACAAGCCGGGGCTGGGCGTCCCCTGGGCACAAGAGCCCAGGACCGCTGCTCCCCCTTTGCTGCCCTGAGACAGCCCTGCCTCTCACCAGCCTGCCCCCCTGTCCACGCTTCTCCTCCCCAAGGCTGCCCTCTCCCTGGCTCTGTCCTTGCAGCCTCCTCCGGGCAGGTCGGTGGCCGGAGGCTGCGCAAGGCCTGGGCCTGTGACAGGGCAGCAGCCTCCAGCCTCAGGCTTCTTCTGCAGGCCTCCTGACGTCATGGCATGGCATGACCTGTGGGGTCATGTGGGCCTTGGTTCAGTGCCAGCTCGGTCACTTACCAGTGGGGAGATCTCAGGCACAGTGACTGACCCCCAGCCTCAGTTTTCCCCTCTGTAAGATGGTGCCTAACGCATAGCATCATCTCAAGTTTGCCCATCAGAGGTGCCACCTGTGATGTGAGCCCCTAAGTGTCTGCGTTGGCGTCGTCCTCTTGCCCTTTCCCTCTGGATGGACAACCATGACATCTCCAGGTGGGCCTGGTCTGGGGTGGCCGCAGGCTGACGGCCTCCACAGTGGAGGTGGGGTTTCCGGGCAGGCCCTCATCTCCCTTGAAGGGAAGGCTGTTTACAAAGGAGAGAATAAAATGGTGCCAGTGCCAGCTTTTCAGGACAGAACGTGTGTGTGGGGGAACTGGAAGGTTCTCTCCTGCCTCCTGTCCTCAAAATGTGAGTGAAGACACAAAGGAGAGACACAAACAGTGCAGGACATACTCCAGCTCCCACTCCCGGGAGGACAAGGATGGCCTGGCTGCCCCCACCCCCTCGCCCGCCTCCATGGTCCTGTCATGGGCAGGATGCCATCCATGGGTTCACGTGAGCCAGCCCGTGTGCGCCATGGCCCGGGCGGCACCGGGCGGGGGGAGTGTGTGCTGCAGCGGCTGGGTTGTGTCTCCCCGAGTCTGTGGGCCTGGGGGACGGACGTGCAGATCTGCATTCTGGATGGCCCGCCGTCGAGGGCAAGTTCCGAGCACAGCAGCTATAAAACGGCCCATTCCTGAGCTGCTTGTGTCTGTGAATTCAGGAAAAACAAACAGCTCTGCGGGGATGGGCCGTTTCCTCAAAGAGCTGAAAGGATGTCGTTAACTTGACAAAGAGGGTCTGTGACAGGGTCTGAGAGGGGAGGCTGAGGTCCCCAGCTCTGGGCTTTAGCCCTCCACGGAGGGGGTGGGGGACACCTGGCCCGGGACTCCCCCACTTCTGCCCACCGCCCGGCCAGCAGGCAGTGCCAGCACCTCCTGGGCAGCGTGGGACCAGGCATGGGGGCCAGGGGACGCGGATGGGGGTCCAGCCCTCCAGGGCTCTTGTCTGCTGGGGAAGATGGGCGCAGGCTCCATTCTGCCCTTGAGGCCTTCCATGCGAGCCCCTTCCCTCCCCCACCTACATCCGGTTCCCAGTCATCGTGGGGGTTTTTTTGCATTAATTTTGGTAATTTAAAATGTTACGTTACATGTTATTTGTCTTGAGGCCTGAGTTTCAGGCGCCCCTTAAACTCTCCCCCCGTGGGAGCGCCTCCTGCGCCTCCCTGGTTGCACGTCTCGGAGGCCACCCTGCCTCTCACTCCCCGCGTGGCGCCATCCTTGAACTTGTGGGTCTCGGGACCCCTTTGCACTCTTAACAATTATTGAAGACCCCAGAGAGCTTTTGTTTATGTGGGTTATAACTATTGATACCACATTAGAAAATAAAACTGAGAAATTTTAAAAAGGTTTCTATATTCATTCATTAAAATAATAGGAAACCCATCATATGATTACGTAAATAAAATAATTTTATGAAAGACGACTGTGCTTTCCACGAGCGGGCTGGGTGTGGTGTCTCGGATGCCCCGCCCCGCTGGCGGCTCCCTCTGCCTTGGTTCCATGCACCCGGGCCTCACGTGTGGGGTGCAGGCCCTCTGGGGGCTCTGGGCTCCTCAGGCCCCTTTGTCTGCCAGCCTGCCAGCAGCCTTGCCCATGGCCCCTGCTGCACCCTGCAGGTGCCTAGGCCGTGGTCCGGGGTGCATGCCTGTGTGTGTGTGTAAGCTGTTGGGCCTAAGCGTGCCCAGAGAGTTGGGCTTGACGAGTGTGCCAGCCCCCCTTCATGTGACCTTGTTGTGCTGTGTGTGTTTGAGATGCATGTGATTGTGTGTGCCACGCTGCTGCCTGAGCACATCAGGCTGTTGCGTGTCTTAGCGGGCGTGTGTGAAGCACGTTTGTGAGTGTGCGCCCACGTGCACAGGCTCGGGGATCCCTTTAAAGGGCCCAGTAGTAGGAGGCCCGGTGCCCTCAGCATCTGTCTGTGGGATGTGTGTTTGAGGGACACTGACATGGCAGGTAAATGCTCCATGGGGGCACTTGTGGGAGATGGCTCTCAGAAGCAGGGGGACCATAAACAGACGCACGGTCAGGCTGGGGGGCTCAGCAGCAGCCAGCCTGTAATGTCCCCGCTCATGGGAGCTCACCACGTGGCCGTACCTCCCCACGAAGTGACTTGCCCTTGGTGTAACTCAGTCTTCTGCGCCACGCCCCTTCCTGCTGCCTGGCTCCTCCATGGCTCCCGTTTCCCGCAGGCCTTTCCTGGGTGGCTCAAGTGATTCTGATTCGTGTGTGCCTGTCTGTCTCTGTCCATGTGCACATGTGTGTGTCCCTGCCCAGCTGTGGCCACTGGGCTTCTCTGCTCCCTCCCTCCACCCTCAGTGGCTGGTGGAGAGCTCAGGGAGGCCCGAGGACCCAGGGCTCTGGGGGGCTGGGGTGAGCGGGTGGTCACCACTGTAGAACTCACTGTTTCCTGTCTGGGCCTTGTCTTCGGTCAGAGTCTGTCAAATGGCCTCCCCACGCCCTGTGCCGGCCTCATGGGGCAAGGGACGGAATGGGGGCACCGTACAGATCTTCCTGGGCCTGCCAGAGGCAGTTCTTAGCCAGGACTGGAGGCCCTGGAGAGGAGAAGCTGGGCTGGCAAGCCCATGGGGCAGGCGGGTGCCAGCCAGGCTGCCTGCTCACAGGACCACCGTGACTGCTGCCTTGGTGTGTGGGTGTGAGTGTGTGACAGGATAAGCTATGACTCTGGGCCACCCCAGGTCCCCTTGCCAGGCTCGGAGCTGGCACCTTGAACACCCTGCAGGCAGCCCCACAGCCCAGACTCTGGGGCATTTGCAGCCGGCAGAGGCCCCAGAGAGCAAACCTCAGATGCCAGTAGGAAGCGAGCCTGGGGTGGGCATGGGGGCGGGGTGGGAGCAGCCCCTCACTCCCATTGTCCCACCACACCCTGGATGGACACCTCCCCCACCGAGAAGAAGGATCGAGCTGCGTCTGGTTCTCTCAGAAAAAAAAGGACAAATGAAACATCTGGTGCCCGGGGTGGCGCCAGGAAGTGGCATGTCATCCCCATCCTGGCATTTTGTTGAGGACCAGCCTCAGTGGGAGCTTCCGGCCTTCTGAGGGCTGGTGCAGAGCGATGTCGGTGGCCTGGGTGGTGGACCTCCTCGGGGATGGGGCAGGCGGGTGGAGCAGGGAGGCCACGCCTGGCCTTCCCGTGGGGTGGGCCTCTTGGCCTGCTTGTCTGGCTGGCGGGCCCTGGTCCTCCAGTGGTGCTGAGCTCCTGTGCACAGCCCGGTGGACTTGCTTCCTTTGCAGTGTTAAGTTTGGGAGACACAAGTGTCCGCTGCTCTGGCACTGGTCCTCTGGCCAAGCCACGTGGCCGTCTGGTGATGAGATGTCTCCCTGGCCACCGTTCACAAGGTGGCAGGTCTTGAGTGGAGGTGGGTTCGGGCTGGACAGATGCTCATCCTGAGTTTCTGGGGCCTTGACTGCTGACTGCTGCCCCTCTTCCTTGCAGGTCACTGTCACCACCATTGGCTATGGAGACAAAGTGCCCCAGACGTGGGTCGGGAAGACCATTGCCTCCTGCTTCTCCGTCTTCGCTATCTCCTTCTTCGCACTCCCGGCGGTAGGTGCTCCATGTTGCGTGGCGTCTCCACCGCTCTCTGGCTTTCCTCTACACTCTGGGGCTGGCTGGGGGTCCCCTGGTGAGCAGACTCACTCATGGCGCGGCACATTCAGAACCCAGCTCACCTGCCACAGGGCCTCTGGAAGCCACCTGCCCTCGTGTTCCCAGCCCCCAGTGGGGTCCTTTGTAGCAAGTGTAGGAAGCGGCCTAGCATGGTTTGATGGTGATCGCTGGGCCTTTCGTGGCAGACGGTGGGGTGCAGCCTAGCTTATTTGGTCCCTGAGGGTAGGGAGGAGGTGCCAATGTGGCTTCAACATGACCGCGGAGGTGGGGTCCATGTGCCTGGTGAGGGAGGGAGCTGTCCTATGCTGTTGCCTGGGAGGGGCTTCGATCCACGTCCTTTCCAGAAATCATAGACTGTGAGCGTTAGAATCTTCTAGTTCACTATGTATGTATGTCGGCATGTGTGTTATGCGTGTATATGTGTGGTATGTGCATAGTATGTGCATGTGTGTTATAGACCACATAGTGTGTGTATGTGTGTGCATGTGTATGTGTGTATATGTGTCACATAGGTATACATGGGGCGTGTATTTGCATATGTATGTGTGTCTATAGATCATGGATGTGTATATGTGCTGTCTCTGTGCAGTACATGTATGGCATATGTGTATTATGTATGTCTAGGCATGTGTGTGCTGTCCAGTATATGTGTGTAGTGTATGTGCATGTGTAAATACATCACGTAGGATGGTATGTGTGTGTATATGCACATGCATGTGCAAGTGTAGGTATATGACTTGATCTCCTCTGCAGGTGGGGAGCTCCCTCCCCAATGAGCTAGTCCTCTTTATCACAGGGGCAATCCTGAGGTGGCAGCAGCAGCCCCCTTGGATGGGGCTGCCTTCTGCCCAGGCAGACTGACTGAGCCAGAGGTGCCAGCCTCGTTTGTGGGGCCTGCGGTGCCAAGCAGGCCGGGCCTCCCCAAGCCAGTGACCCAGTGTCCACCCTGTCTCCCCAGCTCCTGCGTTCTACAGGCCAGGCCCGACCAGTGGTCACCTGTGTGACCCGAGCCCTGGTTTCTGTCCCTTCCTAGGGGATCCTCGGCTCGGGCTTTGCCCTGAAGGTGCAGCAGAAACAGAGGCAGAAACACTTCAACCGGCAGATTCCGGCGGCAGCCTCGCTCATTCAGGTGACCCACCGCGGCGGCCTTGTTGCTGTCCTCTCACATCACCATCGTGTTGCCTTGTGTCCGTCTGGGCAAATACAAGCTAGCGTCCATTCTGGCAGTCAGGAACCCCTCTCCGCCCTGAAGTGACCGACCCATGAAGCTCCCGAGACCGTGTGCTCAGATCTCTCCAGAACATGGAAGAGCCACATTCGCAGCACAGACGTGCTCACCTGTCGTAACTTCTGCTGCCGGGAACCATCCAGCAATGCTGGTAGGGTGGGCCCAGAAGTCGGGGGAGTCCGCCGCCATCCACTGCAGCTCCCACTGAGGGTCACATTCTGCAGGCTGGGCTGGGGGACAAGGAGGTGGCCTGGCCGGTGCTGGATTTGGTGTGGCTGGTTCTTTGGGCCCCTCACCTCCTGGCTGCAGAGGCCAGCCTTGGTGTCATTTCTCTCCCTCATCTTCTTCCTCTTTCTATGGCCGCCCCTGCTCTGCATGGGGGCAGGTCTGGAAGGGAGGAGTAAAGGGTCCCCCCGTGGTCAGGGCCCTGCCTGTGCAGCCTCAGTGTCTTCTGGGCCACTCCCAGCACCCACGGGGCTCAATGCTCTTGGGTGACGGGAGGTGAGGACCAGCGATCTGACAGCACGGGCCGCACTCTGCATTCACAGTGCCCGCTTAGCTTGCAGAAGACCCAGCTGCTGCCCCTACAGGGCCCGTGGCTCAGTGTGCCAGGCCTTCAGTGGTGGGCAAGGGGCTCCATGTGCCCTGAGGCCTCTCATTGCCTGGTGAGGAGCCAGGCAAGTCAGCTTCTCACTCCCCTCACCCCAAGGTTGCTGTAAGGAAACCTTCCCAGAGGCTCCCGGGCTGGGGGGCCTGAGGAGGCAAAGCCTGAGAGCAGTGGGGAAAGGAAGGTTCTGGAGATGGGCGAGGAGGCAGGTGGCCCTGAGCCCCCAGACACTCAGCTCTGGTCTGTGACCCCAGGCTCCTAAAACACACCAGAGAACTGGGCAGCCCTTTTAATGCAAACGAAGACTAACGCACAAGACCCATTTGAAAATCTTGTCTCTGAGAGTCTTAGTCGCTGGCCCCTGCAGGGGCTAAGTGGGCCCAGGGCCTGCCTGAGGAGCAGGCGGGCAGGGGCTTCTGGAGCATGGGCGTCGTCATGTATCTGGCCATGGATGTGGGGCCCTCTGCCTAGCGGGGCAGCAGCAGCGCACATGTGGCCCCCGCCCCGCACACCCAGAGCTGAATGCCCCCCGGGGGCCTCCGGCAGGGCCCCAATGAGGGGTGGGCAGCTGTCCGTTGTTCAGCCTAAGAGCCGTGGCTCAGCCCAGGTCTCTGCTCGCTCCTCTGAAGCCCTTCCGGAACCCACCGTCTGGGGCCTGGACATTATACCTGGACGGGAAGGAAATAAAAGTGGCCATAAAGCTGAGGGGCCGGGCCCCTCTCAGGCCCAGTTTTATGACCCCACAGTTTCTCCTTTCGGGGAGACCATAAATCAGGCCCGTAAAACCGGCCCAGCCTGCCGTGGGCAGACCGCCTGCAGGACGGGAACATGGGTGGCTGTCCTGAGGAGCCCTGGGCTGCTCCCAGGAATCGCACACCTCGGGAATGAGCATCTCTTAGAAGGCAGGTTTACCGGTGAGTTCAGGGGGTGCAGATGCACCCACGGCAGAACGACTGGAGCTGGGGCCTAGGGCAGCGCACATGGTGTGAACCAAGGCAGGAAGCACGAGGCAGCCAGGCGATGTCGTGTTTGTGGGCAGGACATGCACAGGCTGCTTGGGACCATGGGATGTGGAGGCAGCTTGGCATGGATGTGGCAGTGGGCCTGTGGCCCTTTCCTGATTGTCCTGGGTGCATGTGAGGGCTACACATGCCCCCCACTGGCTGCCATGTCTTCCTGGGTTCCCATCACAAGGGTGAGATGACTGACCCCAGGAACCCTGCCAGCGTGCCAGCACAGTCCCTACCTCGTCCTTCTCAGACTCCCATGGCCGCCAGCAGTGACAAGACCCCCAGGATGTATCCTCATACGAAGCTCCTGGCACCCCCTACTGTCCCATCTCTGCCCACCTAGATGTGGCACGGCCTCCCCTCAGGTCCCCTGCCGATGGCATCTCCTCCTCTGGGTCATCCCCTGCATGGTAGTCACCTCTAGAATGGACCCATATGCCATCTGGAGGCTCCTCCCAACTGCAGGATGGTGCTGGGACCCGTGGGCCCTGCCTTGTGTCTCTGAGAGGGGCCTTGCTTCCTGGCCATTCAGTCTCTCCTCCCACGAGCCCCAGGGGCCCTGCTCCTCACACTCTGCCTGGTCGCGCCCCCCCAACCTCTTTGCTGCAGCCCGTCCTCACTGGATGGACCCCCGCTGTCCAGTTCTGCACCTGCCTGTGCACTTGCTGTGCATGCCTGGAAAGGAGGCAGACAACTAGGCATCTCCAGGGCCTGATGCGGGGCCGGACTGCAGGAGGGCCCGGTGGGTGGAGGTGGCGGCAGATGGATTGCAGTTCACAGGGGAAGGCCTCTGTGGTGTCTGAGCTGCAAGTAACAGTCAGTGTGTCAGGCCATGAGCTGCCTGACATAGGAAGGGGCCAAGCCAGGCTGTCTAGGGCATGAATAGGCTCTGGGAGGTGAGGGGCCATGCCCTGAGCCTGGGGAGAGGCGGGGCTGGCACACAGGATGCCTGGCTGTCCTGCCAGGAGGGATGCACAGGCAGGATTCGGGGTGGGCTGCAGCTTCTCTGCCTGAGGCCCCGTCCGGCGCTCAGCAGGGGACAGCCTCTCCCTTCTACTGGTTTCAGACGGCGTGGAGGTGCTACGCAGCTGAGAATCCCGACTCCTCCACCTGGAAGATCTACGTGCGGAAGCCCTCCCGGAGCCACGCTCTGCTCTCCCCCAGCCCCAAGCCCAAGAAGTCTGCCATGGTAACCAGCCCCCACCTGCCACCAGAACGGGGGCACTCACTAGTGGGTGGGGAGGCCGTGGGAGCCACAGCTCCTGGCTAGGACTTGACCCTGGTGTTTCAGCTCAGTGTAGCCCACAGTGGACGTCAGCACCATTCCAGTCACTGAGGGTGTACACCCTGTGCTGGGCCCCCGCCATGCCAGTGTCCCCAGGCTCCGGAGCATGTGGGACTGGCTGCTCCAAGGCCAGGGCTTTGGGAGGTCCAGAGGGAGCCCCCAGGAATGGGACAGGCTGGATTCTGGCCAGCTGCTGGAGAGAAGGCTCTTGAGAGGGCCTTGATGTTGGGCTTTCCGTGCTGGGTATGGCGGGCGGCAGGGGACAGAGGTGGCATCCCAGCTCCAGGAAGAGGGTTTTGAGGTCACAGTGCAGGGGAGTTCCAGCAGGCTTGAGGCGAGAGTGTCTGGATTTGACTGGAGTAGTGAATGAAGGATGAGGTCGGCTGGCAGCTTCTGCCCGTTTCTGGCTGCCTCTGTAGGCTTTGAACCCACTGTTCCCTATGCTCGAATATTCTCCCAGATTCCCACATGGCCTGCTCCCTCACCTCCTTCAAGTCTTCTCCTCGAAGAAGTCTTTGCTGGCCCCCATTGATCCTCTCATCACAGGCTCTGACCCCCTGCTGGCCACAGCCTTTGTCACCACCTGCCCCGGTGTGTTCTTATATATTTACGTTTGCCAGTTTCCTGCCACCTGCCCATGTTGGCCATGAACTCCCAGGGCAGCAACTGGGCTGAGCCCCACAGGAACCCTGGCAGCACCATAAGCCACTGCCCACCTCGTCTGTGTGTGAGGGTGCTGGAGCAGAGGCCCAGCTGGTGCTGCCCCTAGGTGGGTGTTCTGGGGCCGGCGGAGGGCCTGGCACAGGATGCCCAGGAACCGCCAATTCATTGTCTTTTTTTTAGGTAAAGAAAAAAAAGTTCAAACTGGACAAGGACAATGGAGTGAGTCCCGGAGAGAAGACTCTCACGGTCCCTCACATCACGTGTGACCTCGTCTCGGAGGAGCGGAGGCCAGACCATTTCTTGGTGGAGAGCTGTGACAATTCTGGTAAGAAGCCTTCATATAGGATGAGGAGTGGGGACAGGGCCTGGACCCTCAGCTCCGACCCACCAGGGCTGGCCAGGGCCACTGGGGTTTCAAGGATGCCCACTGCTCTCCCAGACCACTTGCTATGGTCCCATGGACGTCAGGTGTTCCAAGCCTTGCATTGGCTCCTGCTGGCCCAGCATCTGCCTGTCAAAGTCCTAGGGCTCCTTCCACCCATGGCATGTCCCTCCAGGAGGCCTGCCCCCACCCTGGAGGGACCCCTCTTCCTGTTCTGTTCCAGACTCTGGGCTGCTGAGAGCCAGGCCCTGCCTTGGTCATACTGTGTGTCTGGTGCCCCAAGTCTGGCAGAGAGGAAGCAGCACATACATGCTGACCCCCCATTCCTGGTGGAGTGGGGACCGGGGGTCCAGAACCAGCACTGTGTGTGCCCGCAGCTGTCCCCTTCCTCAGTGCTCTGTGCATTTGCTCTTCTGTCATTTCTGTGTCCATCCCTCCTCTCTTGGACCTCTTCCCAGCACCCAGCAGAATGTTCCAGCACCCACCAGAACATTCCAGCTTATTCGTAGTTGTGAGGATAATGTCACTGTCTCAAGCACAGCAGAGGATGACAAGTTCATGTTGTTCCTGACCCTTTGTGCTTATGGGCAGCTGGCGCCTGGCCCGCCAAGCTCTTGGTTTGTAGGCGGCTGACCCATGATGGGTCCTGCGTCTGGTCACTGTCCCCTGGCAGAAGGGTGGAAAGCATTCTGGAGAGGGGTTGCAGCCACTCCCTGCTTCTTGGGGCTACTGGTGGACATCCTCCTTGGGAGTTGGCTGGGCAAGACCGAGCCTGAACACCCACCCCACTGGGTGCTGGGCTACCCGTGGCCTCATCACATGCCATTGAGATTTGGCTCTGGCCCGGCCACATCACTGGTGAGCCCCTGAGACGTCCTCCCCGCCTGGCCACTAGAGTGGGCACAAAGGACAATTGTGCCAACAAATGCCCAATGCCCCCACAACTCCGGATTCAGGGGCAGACCATTGTCGCGATGCAAATGGGGGCTTTCTGCAAATGCTAATGGGCAGGTCGGGCGTGGGGAGAAGCATCATTTGCTGTTTGCTGAATACGGAGCAGCCCTAAACGATGCTGTCCATTCAGCCTGTTGGTGTTGAGTCCTTAGTGACGTCTGCGGAATGTTAATGAGGCGCAAGTGCAGGGAGAGTCAGGCGCCTTTTGTGGAATGCTCCCGCACGGAGGAGTTTTTCCTTTCCTGCCAACTCGATAAGTCAGCCCAGCCCGGAGCCACTGGCTTTTTGGAGCCTGAGCTGTCGCCCTGGCCCCGGGGGATTCAGAGTGGCCCCCGCCCCGTGGGTTACCTGATACTCCTGAGTCCTCCTCGCCCAGAGGCCCTTGAGAGCCCTGGTGTGGGGAGACAGGGTGCTAATCCCAGGGCAGATGCCATCACTGGGAAAGGCCTGCAGCCCCAGTTCCCATGTGGTGGGGCACGACAGCCATGCTGAATTCCACCATCAGGCCAGACCCAGGCCTCGAAGCTGAACCTCGCCAGGGTGCACTTTCTGGGTGCGTGAAGGGGCCTGTTAGGCAGGAGTCATCCCCATCCCAGCACAGTGCTTGTCCACAGCAACGCATCCTATGCACAACGCCCACTGCCCGCCTCTCGCCAACCTCGGTGGTTTCTCTCTGTGTCTCAAGCTCACAGTGTCTCTGGGCTTCTGTCTTGTGACCCTCAGGCCCAGTGTCTGAGGCAGAGCTGCCCACTCTCATTCCTGACGGATTCCAGAGCCTGTCTGAGCCACTGTAATTCCTGGATGGATCCCCATGTTCCAGGAAAATGCAACTGGCAGCTGGAGGACTTGCTCACGGGGAGGGATGGCACAGGCAGCAGGAGCGCCCCCTTCAGTTTCTATCCTCTTGCAAGTCCTAGTCCTTCAATTGCTCACCCTGTCTTGGCTCACCAGTGACTGTTCATGAGGGCCTGCTCTGTGCAGGGCCTGAGTGAGGTCCTGTGGGGTGGCAGGGTGTCCTTGCCATCCCAGGAGGAAGATGGGCGAAGCAGCAGTGTGGCAGGGAGTGTGGGCCTCTGAGGGATGGGTACCTGGCTTGGCCTGGTCAGGCCTAGGAAGGCTTCTTGGAGGAGGTGACATTAGGGCTGAGTACCAGTGCTGGGGAGGGAAAGGAAGGGCATGAGCAGCAGAGCAGCTTGGACAGAGGCGCGGGGGCCAGCTGCTCTCTGCGCATCTCCACACAGTGGCCAGGCAACATCATCTGTAAAGTGGGTGCTGACCTTGCTGCCTCACGGAGAGGCCCATGTGGGCTCCCAGCGCACTCAGTGCTGTCTGGGTCACCCTGGCTCCTGACTCGAGGTCTCGGGTGTGTGGAGTGACCAGGAGCCCCCAGGCGTTGAATGGGCCAGATCTCAGAAGTCCACGGAGCAGGAGTGGCTGTGGGTGAGCTACACTGCTCCCCTGGGGGAGCAGAGATGGGGGAGGTCAGGGACCATGGGCAGGACACGGTGGCAGGCCAGTCCAGGACCTGAAGTGATATTGTCACATTGGGACCCTGGGGAGGAAGAGGAGCTAGAAACCAGCGGGAGGTGGAATCTGGGGACTCGGAGACCCCGGGTACAACAACGGAGGGCAAAGCGGAGTTTAAGATAGGCTACTGGGGAAAGAGAGAGGCCATTTACTGTCATCACAAAACATTTCAGAGAAACAATGAAGTTCAGAGAATGACGTGCCAAAAGCCCGAGTGCTGGGGCAACACGCATCCAATGCACAGAGGCCCCGGCCTGCACTGGGGTTCTGTTGCTCCCACTCACCACTCACGTCGGTGAGCTCTTGTGAGCCCACTCACGGGGTGCTCTGCAGCGGCCTCCTGCAGCTCGCTCTCTGTGCTGCCCACCCTGCCCGGCCTTGCCTTTCACCTCTTCCCCCTTTTGAGGCTGTGCATGCTGATTCTGCATTTTTGGTAGGTCCCACAGGATTCTCTCCTGAATGCTCCGCTGACTGCCATCCGCAGTTGATCCATGGCCCCTGAAACTCACCGGGGCCCGGCGTGCTCTAAACCCCATGGCCTCTTGCCTCTCCCATTTCACGGGCCATTGCTGTCCTGTGTTTGGGTTTCACCTTTTCCAGCAATCCTCTGAATTAGTCACTTGTTGTTGTTGTATACAGTTGAGACTTGCTTATACTTACCAACAGATTTGCCAATTTTCCGTCTCACAGTTTGGATTTAAGCTCGTTCTTCCTGAAGCCTTTGCTTTCTTCAGTGAAGGTTCGTCGATAGGCAGCTCAGTATTTGTTTGTCTAGAATGTTTGGATTCTGCCTGTGCTCTCAGATGATGGTTTAGTTGGGGAGAAGGTTATAGATTGAGATATGTATTTTCTCTGAACACTCGGGAGATATTCCATGGTCTCCTGGCTTCTGTGCACTGCGGAGATAACTGACAAGTAGGGGATCCTTGCCCCTCTGGCGACTCTGAATACCTTCTCTTTGACTTTGATATTCTGTCATTTCTCTACAGTGAATCAAGGTGAATTATTTTTATTTATTCTGCCTGCAATTTGTTGTGATTTCTGAATCTGAGGGTTTGTATCTTTCATCGTGCGGAAGATCAGCCCCATCATGTCATGGAATGTTAAAAATATTGCCTCCCCTAATCGCTCTAGTCTCTCCTAGAAGCTTCGACTTGGCCATCTCGTTCTGCCCTCTTTGGCTGTCTCCAGTATTTTCCATCTCTGTCTCCCTGTGCTGCATCCTCGGTGGCTTCTTTCTGGTTTATTAACTTCAGATGTATCTAATCCAATGGTTACTCCATCCATTGAGATTTTAATTTCAATTACCACCTATTTTTTTCATTTCTGTTTGTACTTGTATGTGGGGTTAATCTGCTTGATCTTAGCATCTTGTGTCTTCCTCGTAATTTACATTACAACTTTGAATTTTTAGGTCCTTTGAACATGCTTATTTCATCGCCTCTGTCTTATAGCTTCACCATCTGTGGTTCTCAGAGTCTAACTCTGCTCACCGTGGCTTCTCCTGACTCTTGCTCGTGGTGTCTTGTTTTCTTGTGGGTTTGTAAGCTTAGGTTGTGGTGGCGGTTGTTATCTGTGGGGTTCCTGTGTGCCCTGATGGAGGGGACCAGGTTCTCTGGAGAAGTTGTCCCTTTGCTTGTACAGGGTGACCCAGTGAACCAATCCAGAACCTCTGTGGTGTTGGTTTATAGCTATGGATTTTCGAGACAACTGTCTAGCATAAATACAAACCCAACCTCTTGTAAGAATGAGCCTAAGCTACACATATCAAGAGGAGACTTTTGACTTATCTCCAAAAAAATAGGCCAAGACTAGTGAATTTCCTTTTTTCCTCCATAGCCAATGCACGGGTTTGCCTTGTTTGATTTGGGGCTACTATTGGCTCAGCCTTTCTAGGGGCCCAGGTTTATAAAGGGAGCTTCAGTTACCGACTCTTGCCTCGTGCTGGTTCCAGGCCCTGCCTCTTCTTCTTGGGGGCCAATAAAGTCCACACTGCATCTCCTCAGGGGGGCAAACTCCCAGGACCGCCTGCGTGTCAAGACCAGCACAGTCTGTTTGCTGCAGCTGCTTCCTCCCTGGCCCGTGGGGACCCCTCCCTGCCAGGCCTGCGCACTGGTGCCGTGGAGGGACATTTCTTTCGTCTCAGCAAGCCTCTCAGGGAACTTGTAAGGAGAGGCTTTTCATGGCATCAGGTCCACTTGTTGCCAGAAACAGAAGTCCTCAGCTTAGTGGCAGGAAAACAAGGGCAGCCACGAGCTCCCCATTGGCAGATGGCCAGGCAGCAGTGTTGCAGGTTGGAACTTTCCTGGGGGTCCCTCGAATCACCTGGAGAATTTTACTTTTAACACAGACTCAGAAGCCCACCCGAGATTTTGAGCCACAGTGCCTTTGGGGAGGCCCAGGAATGTGCGTCTGTAACGAGCCCCCCAGGTTACCCTGAAGCAGGGTGGCCCTTGGATTGG